ACGCCCCCAGGGGCCCCGTGGCCCGCCTCCTTGCTGGTGCCCGGTTGGCTGGAGTCCGGCAGGGGCTTCTGCTCCCCTCCGCGTTCCCCCAGCCTAGAGCTTTTTTTTTCTCCTTCCCGCTAGAGAAATCCAGCATCAGAGTCAACAGACTGTCCTCTGCGCGCAGTGTTCGTGAGTCCCGGGGGCCCAGCCTTTCGCCGCTCTCCCCAGACTCCACCTCACAGTCCCATCTCCCTCTGCCTGAGCCTGGGTCCCCAGGGATTAGCCCAGAACTGGGGTTCGGAGCAGTCCGGACTGAGGCCCAGCGCCGCCGGAGGCCTTGTTTCTTCCGGCTAGGGTAACCCAGCATCAGAGTCAACATTCAGTCCTCTGCGTGCGCATTGCACGCGACTCCAGGGGCCCTGCTTTTCGCTGTTTTTCCGCCTCACGGCCCCGTCTCCTCCCACCGGAGCCTGGGTCCCCAGGGTCTGGCCCATAACTGGGGCTCAGCGCTGCCGGTTTGGGGGGCTCAGCGCTGCCGGTTTGGGGGGCTCAGCGCTGCCGGTTCGGGGGTTCAGCCCAGGCTGGGGGTTTTATTTCCTTCATGCTAGGGAAGGAAAGGCAGCTCCCCGCCCTCTCCTCCTCTCCGGCTGCGACCTCTCCGTGCGCGCGTGGAGGCGGGCGCGCAGCATGTCTCCGTACCTTAGGCTTTTTTTCAGCTCCTCTGATTTTCCTTCTGGTTTTCTCTTTCCTTCTTGTTGTAGAATTTTCAGTCAGTCGACTACCTGTAGCTCTGGGCAATGTCCACTCTACATCTTAGTTGTATTCCATTGAAATTGTTGTGTGCTGCCGCGGTTAGATGTCTACCCGAGCAGCCATCTGAAAAATAATTTTTAAAGTAAAAATTTTTCTTGATGTAATTTACTCACAGGGGATTATTCCACTATCCCCCTTCCTTTTTTGACTAAAATAATATTAAGAGGCTTTTGGAAATTTTGCAATGCAGTCTTGATAACTTTTTAATTTTAATTTTATGCACAGAAATATGACTGCTTTGGATTCATTGCATGTTAATCAGTTTTTTTTAAAAATATATATTTTATTGATTTTTTACAGAGAGGAAGAGAGAGGGATAGAGAGTTAGAAACATTGATGACAGAGAATCATCTATCGGCTGCCTCTTGCACACCCCCTACTGGGGATGTGCCCGCAACCAAGGTACATGCCCTTGACCGGAATCGAATCCGGGACCTTTCAGTCCTCAGGCCAACGCTCTATCCTTTTAGCCAAACTGGTTTCGACCAGTTTTTGAACTATGAGATAAACCATTAGTAAAAAATTAATTAATGCTTCAGGAACAGTTTCCTGCCCAATACAACAACATTTTTATGAATATTCATTTATTTTAATTAACAAATTTAAATAGATCTGAAATAAGAGTTTTTAAAAAAAACTTTCCTTATTCTAGGTTATGGACAGTAGATGACATTAAATTTCTGCTATTATTCTTTGAGTAACATTACATAAGCTTTGTCAGGGAGCAAAAACACAAATTATTTATTTTCCCTCTTGAAGTAATATATTGACTTCTTTTTTATGTAAATCCTGTTATTTTTTTTAAGAATTTAATTCTTTTTTTATTAAGGTATTATATGTGTACATATCTTTCCATTGCCCCCATCACCACCACTCCCATACATGCCTTTCCCCCCCCTCCCCTCCTCCCCCTCCCGTCCCCCAGAGTTTGCGTCCATTGGTTTTGCTTATATGCATGCATACAAGTCCTTCGGTTGATCTCTTATCTCCCCCAGATCTCCCTATCCTCCCAGCTGTAATTTGACAGTGTTTGTTGCTTTACTGTCTCTATATCTATCTTTTTGTTCATCAGTGTATAATGTTCTTTATTATCCATAAATGAGTGAGATCATGTGTTATTTCTCTTTCATTGACTGGCTTATTTCACTCAGCATGATGTTCTCCAATTCCATCCAGGTTGCTGCAAATGATGAGAATTCCTTCTTTTTTATGGCAGCATAGTATTCCATTGTGTAGATGTACCATAGTTTTTTGATCCAATCATCTGCTGTTGGGCTGGGCATCTAGGCTGTGGGACGTGGGTCATTCACTGTCCACGTGAAAGCACCCCCAGAGGGAGGCTAGTTCTGGGGGTGCCCCTACAGGGATCACTCGCAGCTACCACACTGGCCCCCAGAGGCTGGTCATGGCCTCCGTGGCGGAGTCCACGCTGGAGGCGTCAACGCCAGCTGAAGTGTGTGAAAGCGATGATGACGATAATGGCACTTGTGGTCAAAACATTTCAGTGCTGTACCTTTCATACTGTAACCAAAGGAAGGCTCAGGTTAAACGTTACTGGGATTTCCAGATCTTCAGGTGGATCCATCTACTGAAACAAGTATTTATTCTCACAGCTCAGCCTCTGTCGAATCCACAAGCACCGGCCTCGTACCGTTCCTCTCACGGAGTCCTGAGCAAAGCGCTCGGGAGCCTACTGGCGGGAGGATGAGGCCGAGGGGTAAGAGCATCGAGGTGGAGGGCAAAGGCTGCCCTGGTTCCCAGTGCCCTCCCCATCCTTCCTGCTGCGGAAACTGCCCATCCTGTTTTCATCAAGACCAGACATGGAGCACCGTGGTCAGACCATGTGCCTGTCCTCCCCTGGCTGGCTGGCGCTGTTCCTGGCTGGCGCTGTGCTCAGGCCCCAGGCAGCTGCTAGGCCACAGGGTTGCTATGGAGAAAACCAGCAAACCCAAGGGGCCGGGCCTGTTGCCGGAGGGTGTGGTGGGGGGAGTAAGGGAGGAGCAGAGCTCTTTGTTAGCTGGATTATACTGTTTTGGGTTTGGGAAGGACCAGGAGCTTTTTCAGAATAACCCATCAACTTTTCAAGCTTTCCGGGGTTGCACTCGGCCCACCCTCTCACCAGTCGGCTTCCTAGCCATTCTGGGGGTCAAGCCCTCTATCCAACCCGATCCCTCCCCAGGCCAGGCTGACAGGCCTCTGCGTTGCCTCCGGGCTCCCATGGGCATGTGCTCACCTCGCCCGGTCTGGGCGGGAGGGTGAAAAGCAGGGTGTTCACCCCCTTTGGGCTAGGCTGATCCCCGCCCCTGGGGTGCCAATGGATGCAGCAGCTTCCTAGGAACACAGGCTTATGCGGCCTCACTGATCAGCCTGAATAACGGAGGCTTCCTCTGCTCCGGCTGCAGTGTGCCTGGCCCCTGGTGCTAACACACCTCCCAGGAGCCCCGCCTGAGGGAGCGCAGAGGCCACAGCCTGCAGTCACGGTGGACACAGTCCTGACTGCCTGACCCACAGACAGGAGCATACAGTCGATTAAGTTGGAATAAACCTGAAGAGAAACACTCATTAACTGATGTGAAATAATACTACCCTCAGGGTTACCAATTCTTTATTAGAAATTCCCATTTCCAGTCACGTCACAAGGTCACTGTCCTGGTGGCTGGACGTGTCCGCCCCTCGGGCAGCAGGCTGCGGGCGGCGGGCGGTGGGCTGCAGCAGCCGGTGCTCAGCACAGCCTGGCTCCCGTGGCGGCCGGCCGGCCGCTCCCCACGCCGGGGCCGCTCCCGGTGCCCAGGGCAGTGCTCCTGCAGAGACCTGGAAACGTGCTCTCTCCGCTCCTGTGGACCCAGCGGAACACCAGCGGCAATACCTGACTTCCAATGCAGACCGGGCAGCCGGGAAGGGGCGAAATGACTGTCTGAACGAAAGTGGTTCATGGCCCATCTCTTGGTCCAAAGACGGAAACATTTGGGTAAAGCTGTGCATCTTGCTTTGGTGAGGGAAAAAGAGAGAAAAGCCGGCTCTCCCCCGGAGCCTTTCTCAGTGATCTCTGACCCCAGCGAGCGGTCAGGAGAACGCTGACGGAGTGAACTCCAGTCCTCAGCGCGGGCCTGGCTGAGCGGGCGGAGGGGGTCTCCTGGGAACAGCATTCTCCCAGCGGCCTGCAGGGTGGCTCCCGGGGCTGTGCCGCTCCCAGAGGGCGCCGGCCACGGGACCACCCCTGCACCCGGCCCTGCGCCCGGCCCACACCCTGGGCCCCCGCACCGGGCCCCGCACCGGGCCCTGCACCGGGCCGCAGGGAGGGCCTCGCCGGTCAGCGGCCGCAGGGAGGCCTCGCCGGTCAGCGGGCCGCAGGGAGGCCTCGCCGGTCAGCGGCCGCAGGGAGGGCGCAGGGAGGGCCTCACCGGTCAGCGGGCCGCAGGGAGGCCTCGCCGGTCAGCGGCCGCAGGAGGGCCTCGCCGGTCAGCGGGCCGCAGGGAGGCCTCACCGGTCAGCGGCCGCAGGAGGGCCTCGCCGGTCAGCGGGCCGCAGGGAGGCCTTGCCGGTCAGCGGGCCGCAGGGAGGGCGCAGGGAGGGCCTCGCCGGTCAGCGGCCGCAGGGAGGCCTCGCCGGTCAGCGGGCCGCAGGGAGGGCGCAGGGAGGGCCTCGCCGGTCAGCGGGCCGCAGGGAGGCCTCGCCGGTCAGCGGGCCGCAGGGAGGGCGCAGGGAGGCCTCGCCGGTCAGCGGGCCGCAGGAGGGCCTCGCCGGTCAGCGGGCCGCAGGAGGGCCTCGCCGGTCAGCGGGCCGCAGGAGGGCCTCGCCGGTCAGCGGGCCGCAGGAGGGCCTCGCCGGTCAGCGGCCGCAGGAGGGCCTCGCCGGTCAGCGGCCGCAGGGAGGCCTCGCTGGTCAGCGGCCGCAGGGAGGCCTCGCCGGTCAGCGGCCGCAGGGAGGCCTCGCCGGTCAGCGGGCCGCAGGGAGGCATTGCTGGTCAGCGGCCGCAGGGAGGCATTGCTGGTCAGCGGCCGCAGGGAGGCCTCGCCGGTCAGCGGGCCGCAGGGAGGCCTCGCCGGTCAGCGGCCGCAGGGAGGGCGCAGGGAGGCCTCACCGGTCAGCGGGCCGCAGGGAGGCCTCGCCGGTCAGCGGCCGCAGGGAGGGCGCAGGGAGGGCCTCGCCGGTCAGCGGCCGCAGGAGGGCCTCGCCGGTCAGCGGCCGCAGGGAGGCATTGCTGGTCAGCGGCCGGCCCTGGCCGCGCACGCAGCTCTGCGAGGAGCTCCTGGGCCAGGCGTCTGGGTGCTGGCGCCTCCGTGCGGAGGCGATCCCATCGGTACAGGGTCTGGTCCAGGAAGCCGATGGTGTCCTGGGCCGCCGCCTCGGTCTGCGCCACCTGAGTGAGGACAGAAGCCACGTCAGCCCTTCACACAGCTCCTCTGCCTGCGGAGGCAGGTTCCCACCAGCTGCTCCCGGGCACCAGCGGGCACGCCCGCTCGGAGGTGGACCAGGGAGCGGCCTTCCCGCAGGCGCCCCCTCCCTCTCCTTCCCCCTCGGAGGCCACGGCACTGACCTGGGGTGCCAGGGCGGCGGTGCAGCTTTGGGGTCACTGGCTGTGGGGCTTTGGGGTCACTGGCTGTGGGGCTTTGGGGTCACTGGCTGTGGGGCTTTGGGGTCACTGTCTGGGGGAGACGACGGGGTGGTGTGGTTTGGGGTCACTGGCTGGGGGAGATGGGGCGGTGGTGTGGCTTTGGGGTCACTGGCTGGGGGAGAGGGACGTAGAACGGGGCTGACTTCCCGCAAAGGCGCACTCACACCGTATGAGAACCAGAAAAGCTGCGGGGACAGGCCGCCTGTTTTCGCACAAACAGCTTTACGAATGGCGAATGGCGCTCTTGGCCGCACTGGCGCCCACTGTTTCAAAGGCACCTACGGTTTTAACACCCGATTGTGAGGGAGGCAGGAACTGTGAGTTCTGCTCACTGTGGCCTCAGGAGATGGAGTTGTTGGTGCCCTTAAGAATGTCAGCTCAGCAAAAAGGGAAGGGCAAGAACCTTACAGTCGAGCCGCACAGAGTTTACCTTGGCTTTTTAGACACAGCCGCAGTGAGCCACTGTCTGCTCGACATTACGGCACCTATGTATTGGCTGTGAGGGTCAGTTTATGCCGAACCCTCCGCAGGGTGCGTGAAGAGCCACCGCAGCAGGGACAGCTTCCTCGCCCTCCACCCAGGCCTCCGGCAGGTGTAGCCCAGGAGCCACAGGAGCCGGCGTGCAGGGTGAGCTCCGAGGGGGACACGAGGCAGAGAAGGTGCCATGGGCAGGAGGGGTCTGGACACCGGACAGGCTGCTCGGCCTGGTCCCCATCCGAGGTGCAGAGCGGGCCCTGAAGCTGGGGGCGGGGAGGGGGCAGAGAGCAGCTCTGACTAAAGCCCCCTGCTGGGCCCCGGGGGAGGTGAGGAGCAGCGGGTGGTGAGAGGCCAGGGCGGGAGATGGCGGCGGCGGCACAGGCACCCCGGCTAAAAGGCAGCCTCAGCCAGGGGCCCCCTCAGAAGGCGCCAGAGGCTGTGAAGAGAAGGGCTCCTTCCTCTGAGCCTCCCTGGTCTCTTCTGGGACCGGTGTTGCCGGGGCAGGCTCTGGGGTCCGTCCCTGCTGTCCACCTCCTGTCTGGCCATCCGTGTGCGGACAGCATCCTGGTACACACACCTGCCAAGGCCCGGCCCGTGTGAAATGCGTCTGAAAGTGAGAATGCTAAAACGGGGACACTTACGTGGCCGAGGACCTCCCGGGCAATCGCGCGGCCTGCGGGCGCCCAGAGCAGGAAGGTCAGCAGGAGGTGCCTGATCAGCTGCCCGTAGGCCAGCGGCCCGGAGGCCCCGCCTGGCCGCGCTCCAGCTGCTGCCAGCACATCCCTGGCCGAGAGGGTCGGGCTTCTGAGCAGCCTCCGGAGGGGGCCGAGCACTGCCTTCAGCTCCGCCTGCGGAGAGGCATTTCCGAGGGGGGTTAGGAGGGGATGGGGCAGCCTTCTGGCTTCATTGGTCCTGGGAGGCGTCCGCGCGGACGAGACCAGGGCCCGCGGGCGGCTGGTGAGGCCGCCATCGCTCCAAACAAACCCGATGGGCGTAATGGAATTTTCTTGACTTTCTTTCGTCTTGCTCACTAAGCAGCTGGGCGCCAGGCCAGGACCTGACCTTTTCTTGTATGAAAAGAACCAGAGAAAAGCCCTTAGCAGAGTGCAGTCAGGTTTTACGTTGTGGGGGGAGAACAAAGGGCTCCTTGAGGACTCGCTCACTGTCGCGGCCACACATCAGCGGGAGCCGGTGCGCGGCTGCGGCCCTGTCTGCGGAGGCTCCCTGGGCCGTCTCCGGGGGTAGCGGGGCGAGGACACACACACACACACACACACACACACACACGGTTTTGTTCTAGATGCCGGACCATCTGTTCATACATGTTTAAAGCCCAAGCAGAGGTCACAAGTCTGTGGCACCCACATCCTAAAGGTGATTGTGAGAGGTCTGGGGTTGTTTTGCATTAAAAATATTGATTTCATGCTGAGACTTCTGCATGCGATGAGAATGGTACGTCACGCTGTGACTTGGAAAAGAAGGAAGAACGGAAAGCCAAAGACCCCAAATGCCACACGGACCTCGCCAACAGCTACGTTTCAAACGAAGGAAACTCGGGCCTCTTCGGAGAATCCCTGTGACCACGTCTATGGGTTTTGTGGGAGCCCCTTTCTGGATGTGAGGCTCCTTCAGTGAGGCTGTCACAGCTCCAGGACACGAGGAGCTGTGAGCGACCGTGACAATCCAAGACCGTGAGAGGCGGCAGCGGCTCTTCCCAGCGGCCCTGCCCGGGAGGCCCTCGCCGAGCCCTTCCTGCGGCCGCGCCCCGGCTGCCGGCTCCGTGGGAGCCAGAGGCCTGAGGTCTGCACACCGCAGGGCGCAGGGTCAGCTCAGAGCCCGCCTTCTTGCCGGCACCCCATCCTAGCCTGGCCCCCCCGTGCCTTCCTGACATCCCCAAGCGAAGCTTTCTCGTTTCGGGAGAAAGAGAAACTCTTTGCATTTTATGGATATGTATATATGCTCATTGTAGGAAATTAAACAAAATGTAAAAAGGGAAAATTAAATGACCTATAACTCCACCAGCTAAAAAAACTCAGTTAAAAACTACAGTGATTGCCTTTTCATCCTTTCTGTACACATGCCTGCCTTTCTCCGCATGTGGACACAGCGCTCACTACCACAACCGTCTGTTCTCAGTCTCTCTTCACAGCGCACCTGACAGCTCGCCACACCTCCAGCACCTGCTCTCGGGGAGCATGATTTTCATGTAGAACGTACCCCGTAGTTGGAATATACCACGGTATTTAGCCAATATCCTTATTGTTGGAAGTTTAGTCACTTCCAGGTTTTGTGATGAACAGCGATGCTGAGGTTATTCCTGGTGATTCTATCTGTGATCTTGGGTTCCCGGGGGAACTCCTAGGGACGGAAGGACAGGGCTGGAGCATGAGCCCGCCGAATCCTAAGGGCAGACACAGACCTCTCTTGTTTTCATCGTGACCGAGTCCAGGCGGCCACGCAGTGGGCCTGGCTGGTGGAGCACACCCCGGGCAGACCGTGCTTCCTGCTTCCTGACCTGAGCCTCCAGCACGGCCGGCAGAGGCTCCGCCACAGGCGGCACTGTGGGCTCAGTCGCCGCTCAGTGGCTCACACAGTCACTGCGCTTCCGAAGGCACCGACCGCCTGACCACGGGGAGGGTCACACCCATGACACCCAGGGAGCGGGGGCACGGCTACAGGTACAGGAGGGAAGCCAACTCCTGCCAGGTCACACAGCCCAGCGCCTCCGCTGGGCCCCCGGAGAAAGGGCCTCACCGCTGGGGACGGTGCCTGCCAGCACAGCGGGGAGGACAGGACGGAGCACCACAGAGAGAGCTATGCGTGGTTTCAGTGCGGAGAGGATCCCACTAACAGGGAAAGATGTGCCAATGCAGAACTTTCCAGAAAGTAAATCTTATAGGACTGTTTATTTCTCCATGCTAAGCCAGCCAGAGAAAGACAAGCATCACATGATCTGACTCATGTGGAATCCAATGAACAAAATAAATGGATGAACAAAATAGATTCCGAAACACCGAAGCATGAAACAGACTGCAGAATCTCAGGGAAGGCAGGGCTGGTGGGTGGGAAGAGATCATATATGCGTCGTTGGTGGTGAGGGCCTGCGCAGGGGTGGGGCTGGGTGAAAAACGGGGAGGAAAAAGGGGACATATGTAATACTGTCAACAGTAAAAAGTATATTAATAAAAAAAAAAGTGAAACTCAGTTTCTGTGATCAACATGGAATCTAACACATAACCTTGACTTATACGGAATAAACTGAAGTATATATAAAAGGGCTTTAGAAATCAACAGAGCTTCATATATTATAATTATTAAGCATAAGATGATGAAAACAAATTAACCATTTCCTTAATTAATTTAATGTGATATTTTAAGAGGGAAGAAATGGGCTTTCTTTCTAATCGGATAGCATATGTGGGTTGTGTTAATATCTAAATAGTGGTCTATTTTTTATCCAAAATATATTATCACCAAATTTCAGCTTTTTAAATCCCAAACTCTCTTCTTCCCACTGCACGCAGGCCTTTAGCCAATCAAACTCAGCCATCTCTGCCTGGCTGCGAGGCCGAACACAGGGCATGGAGCAACGCAGAGCGCTCCGCCTGAGACCTCTCCCTGTAATTGTTAACATCAGCACCGAGCGCCAGCAGTTAAGTTTTAAAAACCAACAAATGAATGTTTGCGAGGCAGGTGCCAATGCCTTTGATCAGAGCACTGTTTCCTGCAGTTACTATATTCCACACAAAATCACTACGCTGATGCCACAGCCCTGCCCAGCCTGTGCTTAGCTGCCCTGTCATTTAGGAAATGACCGAGTCCCTTTCAGAAGCAAAGTGGTTAATAGCATGTGATTACTTGTAAGAACTCTAACAGAGCCGGCAGTGTGAGGACTGTGGTGGACCCAGGAGAGCAGGAAGTGCAGACGGAAGCAGCACAGCCAGGCCTGGTCAGACAGAGCTCCTCAGACGAGTGGCCAGACCCTGCCTGGCATCCCCTGGGCGGCGGCTGTGCGAGGGCAGCCAGGCGGCTGAGCCAGCACAGAGAGGCCTGGGCACAGGCGGCACCCTCCCCTCAGTGCTCCCAGACGCAGAGAGGGGCAGCTGGATACAGGAAAGCGCCCCCTTCCCCCCAGAGGGCATCCAGGCGCTGCCATGAGGAACTGGGAGCACTCGCACTTAGGGACCTGGGGTTAGTGGAAGCCAAACCCATTGCTGGGCCCCCTCTGGTAGGATCCTTCCAGCTCAGGAAAGGCCCACCCCGGATGCCACCCACCCTGCGTACCGCCACCCACCGTGGCCTGCGCTCTCGGCTGGCTCCCGTCACGTGGGCTGTAGCTGAATGCCAAGAGCCACAGCAGGGCCTCGGGGGGTTCAGCCGCTGACATCAGTAACTGCTCAGCTGCCATGTCCGCCCAGCCTCCAAAGCGAGCGAACAAGAACCAGCTCTCAAAGGCGCCTCCGGAGGACCTGGAACAGAACCAGAACACATGGCAGCCAGGCCTGGTTCCTCTTCCTTTGGCGCTCAAGCACGCAATGCTCGCCAACGGCTGGCCTCCACCGCTCCGCCCGCTGCCGCCCGCAGGAGCACGGGGGCCTCAGAGACCAGCTCCCGCCTGCGCCACCGGGCCGCCAGAGCATGGACCCCGAGGCCCGGGGAACCAGGCACCAGCCCTCACAGGAGCCTGCGTGACCGGCCCTGGAGGCAGGCTGTGCCCGTGGCCAGCACGGGTGGTGCAGGACGAGAACCTTCTGCCTGGGAGGGCTCCGGCCACAAGCAGCCCCGGCGCCCCGAGCAAGCAGCAGCCGGGAGGGGCACGGGCAGAAACGTGCTGCTGCTGTTCTGACAGAACACAGGGCTGGCCCACATCCTGGCAGCCGTGCATTCTAACGAGCTGAATGTGGCCTCCTTTCCTTCAGCGCGGGGCTGAGCGCGGAGAAGTCCCAGCCTCTGGGAGCGAGGCCAGCCCCGGCACTCTGAGAACTGGGCCGTCAGCTCAAGGTGAGGACCCTCCGGGTCACGGGGTTAACAGCCCCTGGAAAACCGGAGCGGGGCAGCTGAGGCAGGCAGTGAGCCCTCCTGGCCACAGCTGAGGAGATGCTCTGAAGGCAGTAAAGACACGGAGAGAGAGGAGGCAGCACATTCTCACTCCTTCCCCGGGGAGAGCAGGTGCTCCCGGGTCCTGCCAGCGGGGCTGCGGTGTGTGGGCCTGTGCTCCCTGAGTGCTCCCTGGCCCTGCCAGTGGGGCTGCGGTGTGTGGGCCGGTGCTCCCTGAGTGCTCCCTGGCCCTGCCGGTGGGACTGCGGTGTATGGGCCTGTGCTCCCTGGGTGCTCCCTGGTCCTGCCGGTGGGGCTGCGGTGTGTGGGCCTGTGCTCCCTGGGTGCTCCCCGGTCCTGCCAGCGGGGCTGTGGTATGTGGGCCTGTGCTCCCTGGGTGCTCCCGGGTCCTGCCAGCAGGGCTGCGGTGTGTGGGCCTATGCTCCCTGGGTGCTCCCTGGTCCTGCCGGTGGGGCTGTGGTGTGTGGGCCGGTGCTCCCCGGTCCTGCCAGCGGGGCTGCGGTGTGTGGGCCGGTGCTCCCTGAGTGCTCCCTGGCCCTGCCGGTGGGGCTGCGGTGTGTGGGCCGGTGCTCCCTGGGTGCTCCCTGGTCCTGCCGGTGGGGCTGCGGTGTGTGGGCCGGTGCTCCCCGGTCCTGCCAGTGGGGCTGCGGTGTGTGGGCCTGTGCTCCCTGGGTGCTCCCGGGTCCTGCCAGCGGGGCTGTGGTGTGTGGGCCGATGCTCCCTGGGTGCTCCCTGGTCCTGCCGGTGGGGCTGCGGTGTGTGGGCCGGTGCTCCCTGGGTGCTCCCGGGTCCTGCCAGCGGGGCTGTGGTGTGTGGGCCGATGCTCCCTGGGTGCTCCCTGGTCCTGCCGGTGGGGCTGCGGTGTGTGGGCCGGTGCTCCCCGGGTGCTCCCGGGTGGGGCTGCGGGATGCGCCCAGAACCAGGAAGAGGCCCGGGGCCGTGCCCAGGGGTCTTGCGAGCAGCGGGACTCCCGCTCCCGCTCCCAGGCGGGCTGCACGCTCGGCCCCGCTGGAGACGGCGGGCACTCTCCCTGTCTGCCACAGTGCCTGTGCGAGGTAGACCCATGCGGGCTGAGGAAGCGCCACCTGACAGGGACCCTCCAAAGCCAGCGCAGGCAGACCCAGGTGAGGCCGGCGTCTGGGAGGCTGGGACCTGGCTCTGCTCTTCGCAGAGGCGGCCAGAACGGGTGCGGGGAGGGCGGCCGGGAGGGCGGGCATCGCGGGGCCACACTGGAATCCCAGCGTGGCCACTCCTTCCTGCCTCTCTGTCCGGGCATCAGGGCGGAGGGCGGGAGGAGTGCTGGCCCCGGAGGGACCAGGAGCACAGCCCGCCGCCTGTGATGCTCAGGGATAGGTTCAGGGAATCCCAAGGGAAACTGGCTGACGGTGCAAATACCGGCAGCCCTGAAGGCCAGGAGAGACGGAAGTACACTCCAAAGCCAGGAGCTGAAGAGGAAGCTGAAGGGTGTTATGTAGCACAGAACGGGGAGCCTCAATGCGAATGCTTCCAGGACAGGAACCCATTTAAGAAGGTACTTAATATCCTAACTCGGGGCTGTCTTCTGCCTTCCCGTGAGGCACTGGTCCAGGAGGGACGGACACACTGCCCGCCATCCAGGGCAGCTCAGAACCCTCCCCGGGGAGAAGAGCCGAGGCCCGGAGGCCGCTGCTCCTCTGGGATCCGTTCCTGGTGCTCGGGCTAGTAGAGGCCTCAGGCGCACCAGGCTGCACACAGGCACGCGTGTGCGGACGCTGGGATGGCCACAGACTGGCGGCTTCCCATCGGCCTGCTGAAGGGAGAGGAATGACCGGGAGACCGCAGGTGGGGCCCACCTGGGCTCCTCAGGTGTGCTCACCCGTGAGCCTGGTCTTCCGCCGCTTCCCTGAGCATCTCAGAAAGCCGCCTCAGTGGCTGGTGCCGCAGTCCCTGGGGGGTGTCTGTGGGCGGAAGAACAGGGGGACTGGAGACAAGTCTACAGGAGGGAGCCCTGCAGCGAGGGGGGAGGAGTTTGGGGAGAGCGGAGCCCACCCGGGGCTCTCACACTGCCCCAGGGGAGAAAGATCCGCCAGCCCCGCCAGCTGCACCTCTGAATCTGCAAAGCCCTGAGCAGCCCGAGGCCCCTCGGAGGTCCGGCTTTCCCTTTTCTGCCCACCTGGCCCCTCCTCAGTCACTAACAACCTGTGATTTCCAAACACGTGGGGACTGATAAGAGTCAAAAAGGAACTGGGACTGGGCTGCCCGGCTTTTGCTATGATGACGATGAATTCAGAAAATGATTACAGGTTTAAAGTAAAGAAAAGGCTAGGAACATATATACAAACAGATGACTTTTCTTGAGTTAGCTTTTCTGGTTTCACAGTCATCCTGTGATTTTAAACACATCCGAGCCAGTATGTATCTGCAGTTTGAAACATCATGTAGTGAAAGATTTTCTAAGAAAATACATGAGGAAGATAACGGAAGGGGCAGTAACCACTGCTGTTCCACAAATGCTGTGGATCAAACTCTCTCCCTCCTCTGAGCTCCGCCTCCGGAGGTGCGGCGTTCTCATCGTCTTCCTGTACTACCGTGTTTCCCCGAAAATAAGACATCCTCCGAAAATAAGACCTAGCGCATGGAAAAATAAGACATCCCCTGAAAATAAGACCTAGTGCATCTTTGGGAAAAACAATTAATATAAGACACTGTCTTATTTTGGGGGAAACAGGGTAGCTGTTTAGGTACTTGCTTTCTGTCCCCTCCTTACAGCTGGAGTCTGGGCTCATCAGTGATCCATCTTTTATGCCCACAGCACTTTACAGCGGGCATCAAATCTTTTCTGACGAACAGAAGATTCTATCATTAAAAACACTTCAATTTGTGAACATAGCACTGTTTTGTTTTTCTAAAATATGCAGAAGACTGTTCTAGAAACTAGCATAGGAGGCTCTTGTACTTCTTGAATTTGCTTACTTTGGACGTAAATCCAGGACACCGCACCGAGGAAAAGGGGGTAGGCTGGGCCCAGGCCCGTGTACCCCCTGGGTCCTTTGCGTACAGGTTCCTACTTAAAACGGACAACTCCAGTCCTGTTTTCTCAGTGGCCTTAGGCTTGTGATTGACTAGCTGTGAGTGTAGCCCTGGAAGGGGAATTCCTGACTTCTCTGTCTTGTTAATAGTCTTCCCACGTGTTTCCACGGGTTACATTTCACAGGCCCATCACCACCTCCATCTCCAGCCTCCGAGAAGACAGAGTTGGTGGGTCACCTGGATGAGAATCTACATCTTTTAGGAAAAGGGAAGAGGAAGCGGTTTTGTAAAATGCTGTGAAACCCTGGGACATCTGCTGTCCTTACTGAATCTACTTCCCCAGGTCTCGGGGAAAGGCCAGGTGAGAGGGCAGGAAAGGGAGTGTCAGGGCTCCTTTGTGCTCCCCTGTCCTCTCCCGCCCACTGGCAGTGAGGTGCCTCCCCGAGGCTTGCGGTCACCGTCATGCTGGTCTGTGCCGCCCTCCCTCGGACTTCAGGCTTTACTCTCCTTCTGAAATGCTCCCTAACTCGAGCTCACAGGCACCGAAGGGACCCACCACCTGACCTACAGAATGTCTGACTGTGCGCCCACACACCTGGAGGCTTGGAATTCCTTCCCAGCTGCTGAGGCCTGGGGAGCGGGGGTCAGAGCAGGCTGTGGTCTGCCACTCCCCGAATTCCTCCCAGGCCTTCCCTGGCGTGGTTAGGAGAAATTTCCCCAAAACCTCCTTGGCTTCATTCATCCTTTTATCTTTTCTTTCCCAACAAGGGGGATGAACGAAATACAAACAAACGCACTGTTGTACTCTAACTCAGCCAAGTCTTAGCCTGTCTGGCATCCAGGCTGGCACCAGAGCACAGTGGCATCGGGGCAGACTATCAAAACTTAACAAGCGGCCTTTTTCTCACACTGTTCTCTTTCTTTTGGTAAAAGATCCTAACAGGGTCTTGTCATAGCGGACTGGGTGCTGAGACGAGGGTCCCTCTCCCCCGCTTCCTAGGGAGCAGGGGAAGGGGGAGGGGCAGTTGGAAACCACATCATACCTTTCGGGTGTTGGACTAGCGCCATGACCAGAGACGGAGGAGCATAAGGAAAGTAGGTCCTGAGTGCAAACTTCAGCTGCAATAGAATAAAAAATTCAAAACCGTGTGAACACCAGGATTGGAAGGAGTGTTGAGAAAATCCAAATGCTTACATCCTCAGCCCTAAAAGGACCCACTAGTACTAATGTGGTCAAAATGTTTTTCTTTTATTAAAAAAAAAAAAAAAAAGATGCTTCCAGCTATCTTATATATACATTCCAGAAAAATCAATCTTTTACAGAAGCATCTGGGACTTAAGGAACATAAAGTTCTGCTCTGGTGTCGTTACGTAAGTTCCTTTCCGCTCATGGGCCTAATCACACATGGGAATCTTCTCTTTGAGTGAGTCTCCGAGGCAGCTGAGACGTGTTCCGCCACCATCGCCAGGCCACGCGCGCCCCAGCCTCGGCCTGTCTGCAGAGGCACAGCAGCTCTACGGGACTTTTGTAAAAAGTGAAGGGTTTATTACAAATTATGTTAGAATTTCTATCATAAAAAAGACAAGAAATAATAAATATTGGCAACGATGTAGAGAAAAGGGAATCCTTACACACTGTTAGTGGGAATGGAAATTGGTGCAGCCTCTATGGAAAACTCCTCACAGAGTTAAAAATAGAATTACCATATGATCCAGCAATCCCACTCCTGGGTATTTCTCTGACAAAAATGAAAACACTAATTAAAAAAGACATATGCAGCCCCCATGTCCACGGCAGCATTATTTGCAACATCTAAGATATGGAAACAATCTAAGTGTCCATCAGTGGCTGAATGGATAAAGAAGAGGTGATCTGTGTGTGTATATATGATGCATATTATTCTGCCATTAAAAATGAAACTCTGCCATTTGTGACAACATGGGTGACCCTGGAGGGTATTATGCTCGGTGAAATGGTCAGATGGAGAAAGACAAATGCCATGTGTGCAATTAGGAAGGGAAAGGGGAAGGGAAGGGAAGGGAAGGGAAAGGGAAAGGGAAGGGAAAGGGAAGGAGGGAGAAGGGAAGGGAAAGGGGAAAGGACTGACCAAGCTCTCAGATGAAGAGAACAGACGGGTGGTTAAGGAGGTGGGGAGAGGGGGTGGGGAAATCAGTGAAGGGGGCCAAAGGGTACAAACTTCCAGCTACAGGATAAGTCAGTGACGGGGGACACTGTGCAGATGTCATATACTAGCACAGTTCACAATACTATGCTGCCTGTTTGAAAATCACTGAGACTGTAGATCTTAAACATTCTCATCACAAGGAAACGTGTAAGTATATTTGGTGGCATGTTACCCACACTTATTGCGGAGATCATCTCACAGAATAGATAAATATTTCATCATCATGTTTTACACCTACAACTAGTAGAATATGTTGATTAAACCTCAATAAAAAATAAAAAAATTAATTAATTAAAAGCAACTGCAAGTCGAGTCCAAATCTGTAGTGCTCAAGGCCAGCACACAGGAGGAGCAAAGCTGACCAGAAAACCAGACTCGCACTAACCCGAGAGCAACACTTCTCTCTCAGTCTCCCCCACCGAGGTGCGCTCCCCGAGGCGAGGAGCTTTCCTAGCGGCTGGGGCCCGCCCGGGAAGTGACAGATGCACCGGGAGGACGGAAGGTGTTTGCAGTCATGCCTCAAAGGAAGCACGAGGGCCAGCCAGGAGCGCCTTTCCGCAGACCTCCGCAATTCCTCGCCGGGCACCAACGACAAGGCTGTTTGCTACTGTCCAGCGAACTTGAGACGATGGGAAAGATCATAATCAGGTGTCACTGCCTCAAACAGCAATGATAAACCTGAGCGGCTCTTTGGTGCAGACTGTCTGGGACTCCAGCGGAGCTGAGCACCACGGCTGTTTTCCTCGGTCCGAGTGCTGGGAGCATCAGGGACCGGATGGCCTCCCTCCGGGAAGCAGGGCCCAGGCCCTCGAAGAGGTGGAGCCCCACACAGATGTGCAAATGCCCCAAGGCGAGAGCCCTCGGCGGAAAGGGCCCTGTTCCCAGGTCACTCACTGGGCAGCGGTCCTGGCCAGGCCCCCTGGCCTCTGTGCAGGGAGCCCTGCAGAGCAGGTCCCTGAAGGCCCTGGGCCGGCCTCCTGGCTTGCTGATGGTGTCCAACTCCCCCCCTTAGTCACGGCCATTTCTAGCTCCACCTCTACAATGATTCAACTCTCCCCTCATCACCCTCACTACTTCCTTTCTCTCTTGGAATACAATTCACACTCGGGTCTCATGAATGGAAACGCTAATAGTTAAGAATGTCCAGGATTGCTTTGTAGTAAGTGGCATCCTCCTTAGCAGATGCCCTACAGGCCCCAGAACCCTCTCGCCTCTTGCCTCGCTGGCTGGGAGGGGTGGGCAGACAGCTCGGGGAGGGCGGTGTGACAGTGCTCTGACACAACCAACCCTGGGTAAACGCTCTGGGCACGGGGCCAACAGGAACTACCTCATTCCTTGCAATTAAAATAGTTCCACCTTTGCTGGGGCATACACTCGGAAGCTTCCTTTGTGAGCACGCAGTCTGTCAGTCACTGAGAATCAAATGCTCCTTCCTGGTGATTAGCCACCTCCTCGGAGCACCTTCCTGTCCCGGGTAAATGAATGATCCATGCAGTTTAACGAACCTGGTTGTCTTCTTTTCCCAGAGCTTCTACAAAGCAGCACGTGAACACTTGAAGGGTGGCCAGCACTTCCGGGGCTCCGTCGGTTTCCAAGAGCGCATATCTGAGCGGGCAATGGCGGGCACAAGGCATTGAATGATGATCTGCTAACTGTGAGCCTGAACTGCAGGGAGGGGGGGGGGGGGGACTTCTGGGCCACAGGCTGCAGCAGCACATCTCCAGTTAGGGGTGTGCAAGAGGCAGCTGATCGACGTTTCTCTCTCATCGATGTTTCTGACTCTATCCCTCTCCCCTCCTCTCTGTGGAGAATCAATAAAATATATTTTTTAAAAATCAACATGTTATAAGACAGCTCACATGGTTGATTGCAATTTTCAGAAGAACTCTGTTAAATAGAAGCATTATTTACTTATTCTTCTTGTTTTTCTTTAGCTTAAAAAAATCCTTTAAAAAGATTGGTCAGCCCTCGTGTGGTGAAGGGAGTACACTGCTACACTTCATTTTGAGCCGAGAAAAGTGCTACAAGTATTTATTTAAAATCTAGTTCAACTCTTTTCTACCATTATTATTAGAATTTGAAAAGGGTAAATAAAGAAAATTATCTTAATTCTTAAGCATTGGCTTTTAAGTTTACACTGACATTTGGGTTTTACCAAAAAGCTAAGAGGGTCAGATGGGATCAGAAACTAATTCCCCATGACACACCCAGAGAACACCACAGGAAGTTTTTATTTATATTTAGAAATGGAGCATTTTTAAACCAATTATTAGCAGAAATAGCGCAACATTTACCTGAACATTTCATCAATGATTCTGAAGATGGCGGGGTGGCAGGCTGCTTCAGGCTGGAGGAGAGACCAGGAGGCAGGAAAATGTCAGAAGCATCATCAGTAACATCTGGCTACCATCAGGCTGAGGAGCTGTTGGAACTGCTGGTGCCTAACCATGGGCCCAGTCCTCCGGGTCAGGAGAAACTGGCAGAGCCCTGCACACAAATGCGAACAGTGGCTCTCCTTGGCAAGGGGTTACAGGCATGCTCCCTCCCCTCAGGTGGAGGTGTGTCCCACGTTTTCTACAAAAGGCCCTCTGGCCCAGAAGAAAGGAGCCAGTCTCGTGGACAAATGTGAAACACTTCCTGCCAGGACGCTGCAGCGAGGGCTCGGAGCTGCCTGCCCAGCCAGTGTTGGTAACGGGTCTGACCTCACGGGGCCAAGGAGACCTCCAGGTCAGACCTGGGCGGGCTCTTCCTGTCCCCGTCTATGAGGTGCCGAGGTCGCCATGGTTTCATACCGAGGACAGCAGTGACCACTGTCATGATGGACTGTAATATCACAGCTCAGTGCACATGAATTCAGCAGTTTATTTAGGATGAAAAGAGGGTTAGTACAAAATGTAACGCCTCATCACCTCAAAGACGGAAGTAATCTGATTTATTCCCTAAATGTTTCTGTGACGGCTTCTGATGGTTTAAACGTGCAGGGGCCAACGGTGGCCCGGGTTTGGCGTTAGCAGGCCTGACCCAGGTTCTGTATCTTCCTGGGCAGACATCAAAGCATGGGATCAGGCCGGATGAAAATGCCATTTGTGTTCTTTGGTATTTTGTAGTAGCACCCAAGAGTTAGGGGTTAGGCTCTATGGGCAATTTCTTGGCGCCACAGAATGCTTGATATGACTAGTTTTGGGAAACATCTCTTTTCATACCCCCACCTGCCCCAAAAACAAGAAAAAAAGGGTGTGCTCCGTCCCTCAAGTTTTCTGATCCCGCGGAGGGGAGGAGAGCGCCTATCCCCACAGACTCTCCCTGTAGACTCTGCGCGGGCATTGTGAGCTGCAACATTGAATGTGTGCCATCTAGTGTTCTCACACCGCCACTACAGGCTGCCACAGAAGGCCCTGCAAGAGCATCGCCACTTATTCAAGTGATGGATGATTCCCTTTTAATTATTTAAAGGGATTTGGGACCTGTAAATTATAAATCTCTACTCTTTAGCAGAGAACCCAGGCTCCATGATCCTCCACTCATGTGCATTCTAAAAGAAACCAACTAAAAATGCTCACAGATAAATCTATTATGCACTCAAGAACTAGCTTGCCAGAACCATGGCTCAACAAAGAGGCGGGTTATTTCTTGGCTTTGATCTCAGTTAATTGCCCTGCTTCTCAGCTTCACTGTAAATAATAACAGTTACTAACAGGTTACTGGATATATGCCCAGAAAATATCATAAAAGTTTCTATGTATTCGTAATGGAAAAATCAAACAAGAAGGAAAAAACAAAGTGCATGTCTGGAAGAAAAGTGATTCATCAAATGTGCCAGGACAGCTTTTCGGATGCATACACAGACCACAGGCTCCCGACACACGCGCCTCAGATGGAGTGCCACGGCCACGTGTCCACGGGCAGGCCGGCCTGAGAACGCTCGGCTGGAAAACCAAACTAGAGAGGTAAAAGGGCGCCATTCCTGCTGCTCTAGAGCTCTGACCTGTCTCACCGCTCAGAGCCGCTCTATAAACGTGATGCTGCCGTGTTTCCCGAAAATAAGACATCCTCCGAAAATAGCACATGGAAAGATAAGACATCCCCTGAAAATAAGACCTAGCGCAACTTTGGGAGAAAAAAATTAATATAAGACACTGTCTTATTTTCGGGGAAACAGGGTAGTAGAAGCCATTGGGTACTAATTGCCAGCTTTCCAAATGGCAGAGAGGATGACCCCGGGTGGAGAATAGGACTTCCACGAAAATCTAAGGGAGAAGCGAGAAAGCTCTAACTCAATCCATTAAAAGCAGATTAGAGTGTGGACCCACGCTTCCTTTAAGCAATGTTTTCTAGCAAAACAGCTTAATTAATCCAATGTCGCAAATGTCCCCAGGCTGTGCGGACCTGCCTGCCACTCCGCACCAGCGCACTCCGCTCTCCACTTCCTGCTGTCCAAGTATTTCAGATCTTTGGTTGCTGGCCACCTGCGCCACGACCTGTTCACTTTTTAAAATGGGTGAGATGCCGGGGGCGGGGCACTCTGCTGACACAGCAGCGGCAGAACTTTCTGTTCTGAAACCAGTCTCCCAGAGCCCTGAACAGCTCTTTCTCATGCGTGGCCTTTGCTGATGGCTTTCAGAATGAGACTTCACACTTCCCGCGCACACAGTTTCAGGGTCACCGAGCCCCTTAGGCCCAGCATCTCACAGGCCAGGCATGTGTGCCAGTGACATCAAATCACACAAGTGAATTTAAGCTGCTTTTCTTATCAAGGGAATCCTCCAAATAGAATTAAAGTCTTAACGGATGCTTCCCTGGAAGCCATTAACCGCCCCCACCCCCACCCCAAGTCCATACAGCATCCTGTGGGGGAAGAGGCGAACCTGTAACCCTGTGTCCTGTCTGCTTGCTAAAATGGGACCCCGCAGTGACACCCACAGCCACGCTGCAGCCAGAGCCCAGAGCCCAGCTCTGAGCCCACAGCCCTGGCTCTCCTCTTTCCTGTAAACACGAGGAAGGAAAGAGTCTTGGAGTCCACCTGCTGGCATGTTCTCCCCCGGCCTGCCAGCTGGCACTTCCAGGCTTCTCCATCTGCCCAGCGACTCCCACACCCAGATGACTCCGAGGCTGGGAAACGATGCCACCAGGAGGCCATCAATCACACAAGGTTTGTCCTTCTCCCACCTCCTCTCACTGCCCAGGCCTTTCACTCAGCTTCCGGGACGAACAGATAAGGGTACTGGGGAGCTCTGGACACCAGCTTCCGCTTCTCATGAGCCAGCTTTTCTGTGGGGTCTGCACCCCTTCTTCTCTCCCAGCTCCCAGAACTGCACTGCTACCTCCTCTCTGCCCACACCTCCCCCCTCAACAAAGCAAGGAGGACAGTCAGCACAGAGGAGACGCACAGGGGCGTGGGCGGAGGGAGGGAGAGGCTGCAGTCGCTCTGGACTGTGAGCTGTACAAGCAACGCCGGGGCTCCCTCTGCCCTCCGTGTCCGCGCTCCTTCCATCCCGGCTCAGCGATGATGACTACAAGCCACTTGTCTTACCGGGGCTGAGAACACGAAAGAGCAGAATTACCAGGAAGACATCTAGCCTTCTGTCGTTTTCCGATGTGCGTGCACAAGAGAGAGCGTATGGGTGGGGCAGCGGAAGAGAATACACATGAAAGAAAATTCTACTATGATTTGATGTCATTCGCCGACAAAGCCGAGTGCCTCTTTTTAAAAAATATATATATTTTATTATTTTTTTTTACAGAGAGGAAGAGAGAGAGAGAGAGAGAGAGAGAGAGAGAGAGAGAGAGAGAGAGAGAGAGAGAAACATCGACGAGATAGAAACATCGATCAGCTACCTCTTGCACACCCCCCACTGGGGATGTGCCCACAACCAGGGTACATGCCCTTGACCGGAATCGAACCTGGGACCTTTCAGTCCACAGGCTGACGCTCTATCCATTGAGCCAAATGGGTTTTGGCCCAAGTACCTCTTATAAAGGATAAAAAGGCAGCATAGAAAGGAAGTCCAGTGGTTAGAGCAGCGGCCCTCACATGGAAGGGTTTCAGGTTCGATTCCTGGTCAAGGGCATGTACCTCAGCTGCAGGTGTGTTCCCTGGCTCTGGTCAGGGCATGTGCAGGAGGCAACCAATTGACGGGTCTCTTTCACATCGATGTCTCCCCTTCCCGCCACTCTCTCTAAAAGTCAAGGGGAAAAACATCCTCGGATGAGGATTAACAACAACAACAAAAAACTCTAGAGCCTTTTCATCGATCACCCCGCACAGACACTCTCTCCTAAGAGATGAAAGGGCAATTGCATAGGAGAGGCAAGAAGCTGAAGCTCAGGAGCCTATTTCAGTGGAGGTTAAGATTTAACGCAGGAATGGTCTTTTCCCAAGAACGACCGATCAGAAGCTGTCTCTCCAGCTTCCCCATCAGCCAGCAATCCTGTCCCACTGTGTCACTGGCGCTTTTGAGAGGCCCTTGTGTTAGTATATATATGAATTAAAAGTGGAACCATAGTCATCAAAAAATACCTTTGCCTCTGGCTGGGTGGCTCACTTGGATAGAGCATCATCCTGATGCACCAAGATTGCTCGCTGGTCAGGGTACATACAAAAATCAACCAATGAATGCATAAATACAAAAAGCCCATGTTTCGTTTCGTTTCTCTCTCTCTCTCTCTCTCTCTCTCTCTCTCTCTCTCTCTCTCTCTCTCTCTCTCTCTCTCTCTCTTTCTCTCTCTCTCTCCTCCTCTTTCTCTGTAAAATCAACCAAAACACAACTCTCTTCTTAAAAAGAGGATTCTTCATAAGATTCAACAGTAAACCCCTTTATGGAGTTCAAAATAATTTAGTTTAAAAATCTACTTAAAGAAAACCTTCACTTCTATCATGTAAAATAAGATCTTTATAAATATGCATTTTTCTTTATTTTTCTTTTCTTCTTTTCTACTTTCAAAATACAGGGAACCTGGGTTCTGGAACTTAATTTGTTCCGGGGAAGGCTGTTTGAGAACCAATTTGTTCGAAAACGGAATCATTTTTTCCCATTAGAAATAATGTGAATTGAATTAATCGATTCCAGACTCCCAAAAGATTCCGTTTTAATGTCTAATGTACTTACTGTCTGATCTATATATAAACACTCCTTCTGTTAAGTGTATCGAACCACCCTCATGGCCTTAAATGAATCCCTCCCAGCACTCGGGCCAGGGCTGTCTTTCGGGTCAGCATGCAGCACCGTGCTGCTCACTCACCGCTGCCTCCGAAATGCTGTCACCTGCTGACTGCTCTTCCTTTATCCAAATCAACAACAGTTTCCCCTCTCTCCAGCGGTCTGTGATCACTGTGGCACCCTTAGCAAG